CATGTATGTAGAAAGTTTGAGCTGTTGCCACCAAAATTAATAATTTTTAAGTTATGAGCATTTAAAAAAATCGGCCAATTTTTGAAAATTACCAAGGCAAGAAGCATGGGCTATTGCCCATGCTTTTTTTAAAAAATGGCTCCGAAATCATGCCTATTTTTTAAACATTTTCTGATACATAATTATTGATGTCCTCATACTATGTAGAATGCTTGAGCTAATTTGGACTAAAACTTTTTGAGTAAAAATGAGCCAATTTTAAAAGGCTATGATGATAACTTATGGTTCTTTCCATAAGTAGCTTAAAAGTCTCTTCCAAATTTCACTACTTTTTACTACATATTGTTGTCCTTTTGCTACTTATACACGTAGAAAGTTTCCAACTACCGTATAACGGGTTTCTTTCGTTCGGCCAAATTTTTGTTTCTTAGGGGGAAATCCAACTTCATGGGTTTTATTTTCGTCCTGATCTGCAAGAATTAAGCCACACCTAACAACCCCACCCATAAAACTCACATGTGCATGTGTTAGTGCTAACCCGACGAAGATGAACTCCGGATCAAGCTCTCCCACAGCAAATTTCGTGGGTTTAATTTTCGTTTTTGGAGCTTTGAGAATGAAAGTTTGACCAAACGGAAGAAACCCACTATACGGTAATAATTTTTAAGTTATGAGCATTTTATAATGAGCCAATTATAGTAAGTACATGTACCAGTGTTATTGGATGCTACTTGAAACCTGATTATAAGAAAAAGTAATTGTTATTTTTTATTGATTGGAATTGATTCAAATTTTCTACGTACATGATGTAGTGTGAGGATTGAGGTCATTGATTTAATGTTACATGTACAATAATATTGGCCCATCCTTCTTTACAAGGATTTTAAAGTGCAGCTCATTATCAGAATCTGTTATAAATTAATATAATAGCCTCATTTTCAATTTTTTTTTCTTTATTAGCCTTTTCACTCCAACTTCTCTCTCTCTTTACAGTTAAAGCTATGGGATGAGATGGAGTGTTATTAGGTTTACCAATCCATGCACTAATTGCAGTACATACAGGTTAGTACATGTACATGTAGAATTAATTCAATGTTACATTATGTACACATTCTCTTCACTTCATCCTCTCTCTCTCTTTCCATTGTTCACATTGTCCTTATTGTCTCTCCCTAGCTCTCTCAAAGGATAGTAATTGCTGGTTAGTTGATT